AGTACTAGATTCAAAAAGAATTTGATGAAAAATACCTGAAATATTAGTATTACGATTACGAATATAATAATAAAGAGAGCAGTAAATCAACTTTGATGCCTTATCGGAATAATGATTGCAATTATCCATCTATGACCTTTATAATAGGTAAGACTTGTTATTGATATCATTATTAGACTAACACAATAAAAACGTGAGAAAAAGTAAATCCAAAATGTATTACAATATTCATAGGATGATAGTGGAAACCAGGATGAAACAGATGAAGAGGGTATGTCTAAGTTTGTGATAATCTAACTGATATGAAAGTGGTTGAAAAGAGATAATGTACACCTACCTTGCAAATAATGCATATTTTAGAAGCAAAAAAAACGTTTTATTGCCTAATGAAATTATAATTGACATCCTTTGAGAAAACCAGGATGGAGAAAGTTGAAAATGGGAATTGTATTACTAAATATTTTATTTTAAGGCTCCTATTCTAATATTTGTTAATAATGTTTCTGTAGAACCTGTAAGATTAAACATATAAAATATCAGCGCATTTCATCAAATATGGGACAATTTTTAAATGTGTCGTCAATTATCCAATTTACTATTATGCCCAGCAAGATTAAGTACTCGTAATATTCAATTATTAATTTCCTTTTTGTGTGTAAAATGAAGGCATATTAATGTTTTACAGAAAAAAATTAAATGGATAAATTCAAAATATCAATTTAAACAAAATTTATTGTCTAAATTAACGTACATGTAGAATAAAAACAGCTAACAATCCTTTGGTTTCATGCAACCTTGATTTCATAAATTCGTAATGCTGTAAAGTTTGATGTATGATATTTACCTGTTCATGTAGATTCTACTTTTTTGTGATTCTCAAACAATTATCTTTCTTTAAAGCTGTTGGGATTTGAGCAAATAATATTTTATATCTTTTCCAATATAAAATGATAATTTATATGAAATAACAAATGAAATTCGGCATTAAAAAAAATGAAATAATTCAATAAAATGAAATGTATTGAAACTTAATTCTATTCATAAAGGGGAAAAATACACAAAAATTATACCTTTTCCCTATATTTCCTACGTATTTCTAACGCAGCACCTTCTTTTACAGCTTTCAGTTTTTCTGAGGGAGGAAGAACAAACATGCTCCTTGTTCCTAGATCAGAAGGATTTACTCCTTACTGCATCCCAATCATTCCAGGTATATCTTCAAACACAAAGTATAATATATTTGATGCCACACGAAAAAAAATGGAATCGGCAAAGAACGAATTCTTTTCAAAGGGTACCCTGTCTGCTATTTCAAGAGTTTATCATGTATTGAGGACCCAGTGCATGGGACAATACATGCAATGAAAAGCAAATCACAAAAATCCTTAAACAGTTTCCTGTAGTAGAATGTTTTATATCTCTGACCATGAAATTGGAAAAACTTATTTTTGTATCCCTTTAATTAATTAAATTTATTCAAGTCCATTTCACCATAATGATGGCATTTGGGTTGAAATTGTGATGATGCTTTGATGCTATTTTTTTTTTAGAATTAAAGATCTTTTCAGTTAAATCAAGTTTTGTTACTGATGATTTAGGAGGAGGATAATATGTAAACGCTTTTTCTTCCACAAAGAGAAATTATCTATCAAAGTTTAATCAAATTTATTTAAAATATAATAGCTGTATATTGAGCAATTAGAGCAAATGCTCATTTCAAAGAAAACGTTAGCATACAATTTTGTTTCATGTACACGTGTACTTTTTTTAGAGGACAGAAGGACACATATGCTGGCGATAGGGTATAGAACTCCTCATATCAAAAAACAAGTAACCACTTTTTTCAAGACTTCGGATTCCATGATCATGGGATTTTCACCACAGACTACGGAAGAATTGTCTTTTAAATATGGACCATTCAATGGTAAAATGTGTTTAATTTCCAGATTTCACCAGATTTCTGGAAATGGGGCTACAGAGAGTGTTTGGGAGAACATTTTTTGTATAAATGGGCACCATTTTGATGAGTTCTGGTGCATTCTGAGTCATTTTTCAAATATTAATTTTGTTAACTGATTTATGAGATTTATCACTTCTTAATTTCTTCATCATTTACACATGAAAGAAATCTAGCAGCATTGCTTTAAACGTAATAGGTTAAGATAACGAAGAGAGATCAATCTAACAAATACAGTGATAAATAATAATTTATTTTGTTTCAAATATTCATTTAAATGGATTGTGATCGCACCCAACACCCCCCCCCCCTCTTTTTTTAAGGCCGTGAATATAAAAATACATGTACAAAACGATTTGCTATCTTTGAAACAAAATTTGCTCTGACATAATAACTCATGAGACACTTACATAAAAAGATTACCAAATACATCAAAATTGCCTTTTGTGTGTCAGAATTTATTATTTCAATAGTACATCTGTTTAATCCTGAGTAGGAAGAAACAGCTTGTTTTATCACATATACTAGTAGTTTTTCACTCCTTTATGTTTTATATATATATATAGATGCTGAAATACAAAGTGGAACGGTGATTGGCTTCCTTGATATTCAAGTACAATTGCAGACCAAATGTCAAAACCTCAATTTGGTATATTTCTACAAGTGTCGTACCATTTATTTTCTGCAAAAGAGGAATTGGCAAAGACGACATACAATATATTGTACGTACATATCTTCCCAGTTTTTTTCAAAACAAATTGCACTTCTATTATCTTAATTTAAATGCTTTTTAGTATAATAATTATGTAGCATAAGGTATTATTTTCATTGTATTAATTGCATCGATCACATGGGTGTAAAAGGATATATTAGTTGTATCCTTCCTCAAAAATGTCAACGACTTGATAATATCATTGACTACATGGGATAAGGGAATTTGCACAAATTTGATTGTCCATCCAAAGATATTTTTTAATCTGCTTAAATAGTTAGTAGTTAAATACTTTTAATCAAAACATGTTAAAGGAAATGGTATTTGTAACATACTGCAATATAATCTCAATGTTCCACATGTTTGATGTGAATATGTTGAGAAAAAAAAACTTCACTTAAAACCAATTTAGAACATGTTTTGTATGCTTCATTTCAGTCCTAAAGCAATGGACAGAAGAAATTTTGTTTGTTCAAGTCCAAATTCCTGACAAGAAAACAACAGATTTCCAAATACAAGGACAGCAGCATGATTATTGCTTTTTGCCACCTCTAACCTGTAATGGTAAAGATTAAAATTAAAATAATGTTCCTACTATTAAAACATGACACAGTTTCAAGTAAAACTAGTAGACTGATTGTTCACAGAACAATTAGAGGTTTTTTCACCTCTCTTAAGGTTTTAACATATATTTTTTGTATACAGTAATATATGGTTTGTTTTTTAGCATACATATTTTATGAAAAAGAATGCTTATTCATGTTTGAGTAGTTCTGAACAAGCATTTTAATGAATGAGGTGCTATGAAATGATCATACGATAAAACTACTACCCATAACACCAAACTACTTTGCTTCGTGTATTTTCTTAATATACATGCGTGTATTTAATTATGACCTGTTACATGTAACTGGCATTGTTTGATGAAACCAAGGATAGCAACAGTCTCGTTTAAAGTCAACATTTCACAAATTCTATGGTTGGCCTTGTTAGCAAATACAATCTATCGTTAATTTAAATGTTGACTGACTTTATATATAAAGATATTCACTGACGATTTGTTGAAAAGCTAATATTACATCGTCTTTTACAATATATGATGAAATATGGGGATAACGAACATTAATGAAGTTCAAAAGTACATTGAAAGAACATAATCCGGAACAGAGCAAACACAGACCTCTAAATCATCAGAAATGGGATCAGGTGCCACACAGGTGATACACAGTTGTAATTATACTTCTTGTATGTACGTTATTTAGCTATTCGCTATTCAGTTTCTTCGGGTCACGGATATTTGCATACTTTCCTTCTACATGATTCAATTATTAATAGGAGTTATGTATGCATGCAGATCAAGTGGCATATTTTCACAGATGTGATGTATATCTTGATATATTTTCAGGGTTAGTTTGCCATACATTCACGAAATCCAGAATAGAAACTGGCATTATTTGTTGCATCAATAGCCAGGGCCGTAGACAGAAATTGAAATTCAGAGAAAGGTCTATCCTAGAGGGAAATCTTTTGATGACATATAAGCACTTTGGTGTTTCCCTAGTACCTGCAAAGAATGCCAATGATACACAGTTAAACCAGGAATTTGAATTCAAAACTTTTGCTTTATCAAAAAATTTATCCGTTTCTGTCTGGAAAAATAGGAGCTTCAAACGCACTTTATGTCTAGAAAAGTACACAAGCTTGCCACATATCTTCGGCGGAAATAGCCCTCATCTGACTGAGTTCGATTCCCACAGTACTACTTTTCTTCTGGAGGCACAAGTTTTGAGGTTCACATTGAAAAATACTATCAGGTCCCCCAGAAGAAAACAGAGAGAAAAAGAAAGAAGAGGCCATGACATTAAAGAAAGAAATGACAAAATTAAAGGTCAGACAAAAAAAGCTACACCCTGTAAAAGTCACGCACCGATGGGTTATGAGAAGTCCAGAAAAAATTACAGGGAGATATACACTCCAGATGCCACAACATTACTCAGTAAACCTGAACAAACATATCAAACATGTGGGAATCATAGCATGTATTCTGCTACAAATAAAAATGACACACCTAAAGAAACTGTCTCGGGTATGTCTAATATTTGTTTAAAAATTGAATATGCAAAAAAAGTACTTAATTTTTTTCTCTCCATTAATTGAATCTAAAAATAATTAAATGGAGCAAGAGACATATTTTTATCCAATCTGTAAGTATTTCCAATTTTGACCGATATGAAGCACTAATAATATAAACATAGTCTTCATACTTCTGACTTTTGTATAATACTTTCAGATGCGTCACTTTTTTATTGCTTCTTCAAAGGGGGGAAAATAAAAGCAGTGGTTTGGCAAACACTATACAGTGCCTTTCTGTTTACATTGCTATTATCACCAGCTACAGGAGTAAGCTAATATAATTTTTGCAAAAAGAAAAGAAGAAAGAAAAAGAAAAAAAAATTGTCACAATAAATATCTTCTGAGAGCTTTCTGTACCATCTGATGTTGCTTTTATGAATATATATATATATATATATATATATTTATCTTTTCTCTGCCGAAAGGTAACCGACAAAAAATGTAGAGGAATACAAGAGTCCGCTAGAAATGTGTCAATGTGCCCTACCACAAAAGGAGACATGATAAAACGAGCAGCCATTAAGAACTGTAAAGATTTTTCCAATTCCTGTGACGAACAGTTAGAATACCAATGTGTGCTCAATGACCGTGGAACAGGCTTTGTTGAAGTCTGTTCGCCAGCGATCAAGATAATCGGCGGTAAGAAAGGGGGAAGTTTTTGTAAAACTACCCTATGTTATATTGGCCAATGAAAAGAGATATTCCAGTTAAGTTATTTTTTATTATAGTTAATAAAAGTTTTTTTTTTTTTTTTTGCAATTTCTTTTTCTTAAGCACTTTTCTTAATTTTTTCCCTCATTATAATTAATTTTGCATTCTTTATAGAATTCTGTGCAGAATTCAACGTCGGTTTAGGAGGAATTCAACCACAAAAACAGAAAAGCTGCTTGGGAACATGTCCATTCGCTTATAATTCTACGGACATGTACAAATGTTAGTTTTTATATGCATTTGAAAGATTGACGTCAGTGTACAGTATGAAGGCATATAATCCCAAACATTGTTAACATTGTTAATAGAAATAATCAATGATTTTTGATGTTTGATAATGTATATCAATATAGTTATTTTAATAGAAATTATCAAATAAAGGAAATTGTCAACAACAAAAAATGAAGCGGAAAAATACACTCACGGCTAAAATACGGATATATATTTAATTGTTGTGGGAAAATTTTAGAAATTTATTTCAAAATTAAGGATTATCTCCCGCATGCTAAGCTCTGATCCTTCGACATATTTAGCTAGAGTCAATGTCCCCTCTTTTTTCAGCTCTTCGAAGTTTTTATATTTAAATATTTCGGATTTCCAACTTTTTGGCATGAGACATAATTTGTTGAAATGCGCATCTGGTGCATCAAAATTGATACCGTTTAAGAATTACATGGTAACTGATGCAATTCATTCTTTGTTAAATAGATTCGTCTGTATGTTACAAGAAGTTAAGACTGGGTGACGACATTGACAATATCAAGAAAGCTCCTAAAAAATCAACCACAAATGTTAACATTACTGAGGATGAAAAGGATTTCTCTCTATCCAGATTCAACGAAACAATACATTTGCAGGAAAATGGTACCATCCTCAAAGAAGCACAACCTTTTCAATCTTTAAGGTATTCATTGCTGGTTTATTGCAAGACTGAAGTAATATATATGAATTAGAATGTCATATTTATGGCTAACGAAATATATGTAATGATTTTTTTTTCGCTGTTAAAAACTAACATGTATTTTTTTTTTTTTTTGGCTATACATTTGTTTCACCACCCGAGCCTCCGTCCTTCCTTTCGCCTCATGGGGGACTTGTTTTTTTGTTTTTTTCTTTTAACTCAGAAGTAGGTCAGTACGACCCATCCAATGACGTTGTTTATGCAAATTCGGATATATTGTTCGAATGATTAAATCTTTTAATATACTGTGAGTGCCAGAATTATTTAACCTTAATTACTATTGTACACATCGCCGGGAGAAAGTGTTTTGCAAACCAATATTAATTCAAGTTTGCTTTACTTAAAATTCTAAAGTCTATTCATTATCAATTTATACCCTACAAGACAAGAGGTGTAAAACCATTATAACTTGATAGATGATGCAACGGGAGAAACTAATACTCAATCTAAAATTATGACACTTTTTAGCTCACCTGAGCTGAAGGCTCAAGTGAGCTTTTCTGATCACTTTTTGTCCGGCGTCTGTCTGTCTGTCTGTCTGTAAACTTTTAACATTTTCGACTTCTTCTCAAGAACCACTGGGCCAATTCAACCAAACTTGCCACAATGTATCCTTGGGTGAAGGGGATTCAAATTTGTCCCAAAATGAAGGCCCACGCCCTCTATCAAGGGGAGATAATAAAGAATTAGTGAAACATTAATAGCATCCCTTAAAAATCTTCTTCTCAAGAACCAGAGGGCCAGGAAAGATGAAACTCATGTGGAAGCATCCTCAGGTAGTGTAGATTCAAGTTTGTTAAAATCATGACCCCCGGGGGTAGGGCGGGGCCACAATGGAGGATCAAAGTTTTACATAGAAATATATAGGAAAAATCTTTAAAAATCTTCTTCTCAAGAACAGCAAAGCCATGATGAGTCATATTTATTTGGAAGCATCCTCAGGTAGTGTAGATTCAAGTTTGTTCAAATCATGACCCCTGGGGGTAGGGCGGGTCCACAATGGAGGATCAAAGTTTTACTTAGAAATATAAAGGAAAAATCTTTAAAAATCGTCTTCTCAAGAACAGCAAAGCCATGATGAGTCATATTTATATGGAAGCATCCTCAGGTAGTGTAGATTCAAGTTTGTTCAAACATGACCCCCGGGGGTAGGGCGGGGCCACAATGGAGGATCAAAGTTTTACTTAGAAATATTAAAGGAAAAACTGTAAGAATCTTCTTCTCAAGAACCGCAAAGCCATGATGAATCATATTTACATGGAAGCATCCTCAGGTAGTGTAGATTAAGGTTTGTTCAAATCATGACCCCTGGGGGTAGGGCGGGGCCACAATGGAGAATCAAAGTTTTACATAGAAATATATAGGAAAAATCTTTAAAAATCTTCTTCTCAGGAACAGCAAAGCCCTGGTTGGTCATATTTATATGGAAGTATCCTCAGGTAGTGTAGATTCAAATTTATTCAAATCATGACCCCCGGGGGTAGGATCGAGGCCACTATGGAGGATCAAAGTCTTAAATAGAAATATATAGTAAAATATCTACTTCTGAAGAATTGCAAAGCTATGATTAGTCATTTTGATATTGAAGCATCCTCAGGTAGTGTAGATTCAAGTTTGTTAAAATGATGACCCCGGGGATAGGGTCGGGCCACAATGGGGGGCGAAAATTTTACATGGGAACATATAGGAAAATATCTTCTTCTCAAAAACTGAAAATCATGTTTAGTCATTTTGATAAGAAAGCATCCTCAAGTAGTGTAAATTCAATTTTGTTCAAATGATGACCCCCAGGGGTAGGGTGGGGCCCAATGGGGGGTCGAAAGTTTTACATAAGAACATATAGATTTACCTTTAGTATTTTTAAATCTTGTTAGTGTTTTCTTGGGGGAAAAATATTTTTCTGCAACAAAAAGTGGTGCAAGTAACTTCATTATGAAATTAATCAAATTGCTTCCTAATCATATTGAAATGACACATAAACCTTGTTAGCTGAAGCAACTTGGGAAGAATGTGTGTCACAGCTATATACAAGTCACAATACTATCATTTTGAAATCATATTTGCCAAGTATTTATTACCTGGCTGTGAGGATTTGGGCCATCAAGAAGTGTCCATAGATAAATCTTAGAGTCTTGCAACCCGAAAGTAGGGTACGAAGACAGTATCGAGACAGTAACATCATTAAACATTAGTAATTAATGCAAGTTCCCAGCAACATGATTAACAAATTAGCTTATTTTGGTTTTTATCGCTGAAAACAACCAATTCAATTTTGAATCTCTTTTTATACAAAGCAATGCTTTGAATTATTTCTATACTTTATATGTTAAGATTAAAGTAATGTTATTTTTTAAAGAAAGGCTTCATTATATTTACTTCCTGAGGATTGATCGCGAGTCAGTTAAGTACAATTCAATATTTTGATTCTTTACAGATCTGAAGGTTGTTCCTATATTGTTATAGCTTTTATAGCCATAACAATTTTAGTCTTTTTCGTCTTTGGATACATTCTTTACTTCAAGCATAAGAATTTCAGAAGAGTACCAGAAGAAATATCAGGTAAACTTTTATTCTATATTTCAGACATTGTTTAAATTAATTGTGAAATTTTTTTGTAATCGTTTATATTACAACTCAGTGACAATTTTTTTTGGAAATGGCAAATAAACATATATTCTTGTGAAATTGATGTGTGAATACCTGTTGTTGTTTTTTTTCAGCTACAACATGTACAATGCTCATACATGTACCAGTAGAAAAGAACTGTGCGGCTAAAACCATGATCGTTAAGATATCAGGACGGTGGAATGGAACAGAAGTTAACTGCTAGTAGTCCAAACAAAATTTGACTCTGACTTATTCAATCATACAAAGATTCGCGAAACATGCAAAACGCATGTATGAAAATTAATGTATAGCGAGGTTGTAACTGATATACAATTTCTATAATGTCCTTAAATCTTACTATATAATCTATTTAAGGACAGATGTTATAAACAAAAAAGTGGATGCTTGGATTGGTATATATTTTAGACACATTTTAGTTGTAAATGTTGTAAATAAGAAATTTCTAATAATAAGAAATTGTAAACTTTCTATGATGTTCGAAATTCTACCTTTCTGTAATTATTCTTAATCTATACAACTTTTTGTCTCATTAAATCCCATTATTGTGAAACTTTGAATGAAAAATTAAAAACTATGCAGTTAATCATCCATTATGCCCCCCGTTATCGAAGATTCGGGGGCATATAGTTTTTGCCCTGTCCGTCCGTCTGTATGCCTTGCTGTCCGCAAAAACTAATCGTGCCCATAACATTTGATTGCTTGGAGCTGACTTTCTTATTTCACATTTGTATTTCTTGTGACAAGAACTTTCTTTGGGTACCGAAATATTTGACCTTGGAGTTTGACCCACTTTTGCAAAATTTTACCAAACTTTAACCTTGGCCATAACCTTTGAACAGATGGTGCAAGGGCTTCCATTTTTCACATGTATATTCCTTGTGGCAAGACCTCCCGTTGGCACCAAAAATTTTGATCTTGACCTTAGAATTTGACCTATTTTTGGAAAACTTTAACCTAGGCCGTAAGTTGTGAATAGCTGTTGCCAGTGCTTTCATATTTCATGTGTGTATTCCTTGTGACAAGATTTTCCCTTGGGTACTAACAACTTTTAGCTCACCTCAACGAAGTTAGGGGAGCTTATGTGCTTATGGACCTCGGTGTCGGCGTTGGCGTCCCAGGTCTACATTAATCAGAGATGCTTCTAGTGTGTTTCATTGTACCAGTCAATGTATCATATACTGCAATTTCAGCTAAGGAATGACCAGATAATGTTTTTGGAGCAGGTTAAAGTTTTTGGTGCAGGTTAAATTTTTTGGTGCAAGTCTCATTTCCAAGTAAATGTAAGCCCTATGTTGACCAAACTTGAATAAATGATCATACATCTAAGGATGCGCAGTACCAGGTTTGCTTCGGATGCTGGATCTGACCTACATTTTCTGGATGAGTAAACAGGTTAAAATTTTTGGTACAGGTCTCATTTCCAAGTAACCATAAGAACTATGTTGACCAAACTTGAATGGATGATACATCTAAGGATGCACACTACCAGGCTTGCTTTGGATGTTGGGTCTGAACTACATTTTCCAGATGAGTGAACAGGTTAAAGTTTTTTGTGCAGGTCTCATTTCCAATTAACTCTAAGACCTATGTTGACCAAACTTGCATGGATGATACATCTAAGGAT